GGGCGGGGGCCGGGGGGAGGGGGCTGCCACGCGGGCACACTTGGCGCCACGCCTCCGTTCCCCCTCCACAAGTGAGAGACACAGCCATCTTTTTTACTCATCCTTTTCTCTCCATCGTTTGTCTTGGGCCCATGCTTCAGGCTGAGCCTCCGGCTCCTTTTCCGTTGCCCCACAAGGACGAGTCTAAATTTCTTCTGTTGCTCGCTGCCCTGAGTCGTTTTTCCTCCCCTCCTTGACTTTTTTTTTTGTTTTTCTGTGTGCGGAGGACCTCGTCTCTGCTTGAGACGGACCTCACATAGTACGGCACGCCTCGGCGTGTGGCTGCTGCTGCGGCTGATTGATTTGTGTGTACTACTGCTGCTGCTGCTGTTGTGGCGCCTGCGCCCGCGATCACCGCCGTGCCTCTTCCCCATTTCTCAGTGGTATTCAGATAGAGCAGCAACAATAACAACAACAACAGCAACGACAAAAACAAACAAACAAAGAACAAAGGTGNCTCAGTGGTATTCAGATAGAGCAGCAACAATAACAACAACAACAGCAACGACAAAAACAAACAAACAAAGAACAAAGGTGCTAACACCAGCAAGAGGAGAAAATAGAAGCGAGTAGCAAACAGAAGAAAAGAAAAAGGAGAAAGATCAAAATACAGACCCACTAGAGTCTATTCTAGCGCTAACAGTAAGATTAGAAGCGGTGATTGAAACAGCCCCGCTCTAAACAGCTTAGGTGACACTCCTTTTTTTTTGCTTATCTTGTCTTTATTTTACCCCCTCGGTGTGTTTATAAACGCAGAGTTCCAATGGAAGTGGCGTTTGACCTGTACACCGCCGTTCTCCCAGTGGAGCGTGACTCCTTGCGGGATCAGATATTTGTCTACTGGCTGATCCTCACCACTGGCGGCATCGCGCTCTACCTCGCATGTGCCTCATTGTCGACGTACGTCTTCTTCTACGAGTTCGCCGAGACGTACTTCCCGCGCACTATCAAGGCGAGCAAGCACGACTCGGAGCTGCGGCGGCAGGTGATACATGAGATCTTCATCGCCGTCGCGTCGATCCCGTTCATGGCGGTGCTGATGATGCCGGCCGCCGTGCTCTCACACCGTGGATACAGCAAGATCTACTACCGCGTCGAGGACTACGGCTGGACCTACCTCCTCCTCAGCGTCGTCATGTTCTTCGCCTTCACAGACTGCCTGGTGTACTGGTTCCACCGCGGCTTGCACCACCCGACGTTCTACCGCTACCTGCACAAGCTGCACCACTCGTACAAGTACACCACCCCATTCTCCTCCCACGCCTTCAACCCGTGCGACGGCTTCGGCCAGGGTGTGCCGTACTACATCTTCACCTTTCTCTTCCCTATGCATCACTACCTCTTCGTTGTGCTTTTCTTCACCGTAAACTTATGGACCATCTCTATTCACGACCAGGTGGATTTTGGCGGCCACTTTGTTAATACAACAGGGCACCACACGATCCACCACGAGCAGTTCAACTACGACTACGGGCAGTACTTCACGGTGTGGGACCGCATTGGCGGCACGTACAAGCCGGCGGTGCAGACACACCGTCTCCCGCTATTTGGGAAGGGCGGCAGGGTCGACGAGGAAAAGTTGTGTAAGAAGATGGGTTGAAAGGCATGCAGCTTTGTATGCAGGGATGCATGCATACATGTGGTGGTTCATAGAGCATAGGAGAGGGAAGGCAACGGAGGATGGGTATGCGTAGATGCGCGTGGTTGCGTTGCATGGAGGCCTGATGGTGTTGGGGCTGCACGGGTGGTGGGGGGTGAGGGGTGAGGGCAACGGAAGCACGCGGGCATCCTCACAAGGGGTCCCACGTACTCTTTTGGCTTGCCGTTCGTGTTGATTTGTTCTGCAGCTGTTGCAACGTTGCCGTCTCTGCGTTTGTGCTCGTGTGTGTGCCCGCTGCTGCCGTGGGGGTGGCAGGGCTGCGGTGACGCCCCAACGCCGGCGCGAGGAGAGGGGCGGGGAGGAAGGATATAATGAATAAGCCGCCACGATGAATGTCGAAAGGCGCCACCAAAAAAAAAAAAACGGAAAAAAAATAGGAAAGAAAGAAAATGAGACAAATGGGGAAAATCCAAAGTATGGCTGTTTTTTTTTTTGTTTATTTTTATTTTGTTCATGTGTTTTATTTCGTTCGTGTTGTTCGTGCTTCATTCCCCCCCACTGCTGTTGGCGTTCAGCGACCGAGCAGCGGAAGGGGCCGCCGTGAGGGGCGCCCCACACGGCAAAAGGGGGAGGAGGAGGAGGAGGAGGAGGCGAAATGTAAGACGTGGTGTTTTGTGTGAAGCGGAAGAAAGACACGAATGCGGTAGTGGAGAGTGCACGGGAGGGAGTGGGACGCTGGTGGCACCGAAGAAACGTCGCCACCATCGTTTTATTCATTTCATAGGCACTGCCGTTCGCGTAAGAGTGGGCCGTGTCGTGGCAAAGATGATTCGGCGGGTAGTTACGTGACTCCAGAGACGTAGATGAGACACACACACACACATACAGAAATGTGGTGCCAGCAGGCCCGTGCACTACATAAGACATGCTGTCCCAACACTCTTTATGCTCTGCTGTCTTCTCTCACCTTCTTTCTTCATTCCTCCTTTCCCTTTTGCCACTTTCCGTGGTGCTGGGGACTCTCGTATTTCGCAGGAAAATTACGTGCGTCTGTTGCGCATTTTTTTTTTTTGGCGTAGCAAGCGACCCAATCAACAAATACGCGGGGCGTAGCACGGTGTGGGGCAGAAGCAGCAGCAGCCAGACGCACATCGTGCCAGCGGGAGGACAACACCTCGACAAGAAGCAAAGACAACAAAGGAAAAAAAGGTAGGTCGGTGATAACCGGTGGCGTGGTAGCAGCTGTAATAGCACGGGGGAACGTGGCCAGCTTGTGAAGGAGCAACGTTGAGATAAAATGGCGTCGCGTGTGAAATTCCACCTGAACGAAGACAACGCGATCCCGGAGAGTCACCCGGAGTGCACCGCGTGGATGGTGCGGCGGCTCTGCGAAGAGCTGCAGTGTGACGTGGACGACATCACCAGCAAGCACCTCCGCCTCATCAACGAGTTCCTCGTCGGCGATGAAGAGCTGCACACACTCTTCTGCTACTACCGTGGCGTGGTGGTGGAGGAGGTCGGCGACGGGGACGAGTTCGCTGCGCCCAAAAATCGAACCGAAACGTTCGTAGCAGAGCTATGCGTTGTGGACAGCGTGCCCGCCATCTCCGAGCGGGGCGCGGTGGACGGCATGTGCCTTGACTCCCTTTACTTTGTGCGGCTCGACCCCGATAGGCTCATCGTGCCGGAGAACATCGACACTGCCGTCGCGTGGGGCGTGTGCCGCGGCGCCAGCCTGCTGGACGGCTTCCTGCGCACGCTGCAGTTTGTGCTGACGCCGACGCTGCTGCAGAATCGCTGGCCCGACAGTATCGAGAAGGATGTGCACGCCTCGATACACCGTTTTATGGCCGCCATGACGGAGAACGTCAATCGCCTCAAGGGGCGCACCGTGCTGTACGTGCCGAGCGATCTCACCACAGGTGTCTCCATCGTCGGGGCGCACCTTGACCGTGAGCTTGTGCAGCGCTTTGAGGCGGCCGTCATCCACTGGACGCGGCAGATCAAGGAGGTTGTTGGCGACAAGGACGCTGGCCTCAGCGGCGAGGCGGCGGGGCCGCTGGAAGAGATTGCGTACTGGCGTTCGCGGGCTCGCGACTTGGGCAACATCCGCGCGCAGCTCAACCGCTCCGACGTCGCCGGCATCGTGCGGGTGCTGAAGGAGGCCAAGTCCTTCTACTATCTCGAGCCGTTCCTCAACCTGCGCGCCGACATCGAGAAGGGCACGGAGGAGGCCTTTGACAATCTGCGCTTTCTAAACACGCTGCTGGAGCCGTGCACGAAGCTCTCACGCGCCGAGCCCAAATCCATTCCAGCGCTGATTCCTGATGTACTTATTCACGCGCAGCTTATACTCATCTACTCCAAGAGCTATAAAAAGGAACGCTTCTTCCGCCTCCTCCGCATGATCTCCAACGAGATCATCTACCGCTGCAGCCAGAAGATTGATGTGCCAGCCATCCTTAGTGGCGACGTTGCGGACAGCATGGTGGCGCTGCAGCACAGCGTTGCCGCTGGAGAGGCGTGGATTCGGGAATGCCACAAGATGCTCGCCGCAACACGCAAACGCTTCAAGGTAGAGAAGGGTGAGAAACTCGATGTGGATGAATCATTTCTCAATGAAATTGATGGTTTTGTGCGTCACCGCTGCCAGAACCTGCACGAGATCTGCAAGGCGCAGCTACAGTTTGGCTTCAAAGGGGTCCGGCAGGATCAGCGCCGCTTGTCCGATCGCGGCGCCGGCAGCCGACACACGCGCGGCTCACGCAACGCCTCGGGGGAAGAGCGGCGCGGGGGCGCTGGCGGTGAGGCCTCGTACGGAGTGCCAATTGAGGTAAAGGAGTTAGACCACCCGGTAAAAACCGTGGAGAACCTCTTCGCCGGGCGGCTGCCAATATTCAGTGGCAGCAAGGGACCGGAGATTGAGTCGCAGCTGCTCGACATTCAGCGCGCCTTCAAGGGTAAAATGGAGATGTTGCGCCGGCTCGACTACGACATCCTTGACGTGAAGTCCACACGCTGGGTTGATGACTTCCGTGCGCTAAAGGCAGATATTGACAATCTTTCCATGATGCTGCAACAAATAATTACGGCTGCATTCGACAGATTCAGCACAACGGAGATGGGCGCAGAGTACATTGAAGCCTTCTACCTCGTTGCGGAGAGTGAGGAGCTGTTGTTGCAACTTGACCGTAGCAAAGACCGCGTCTTTCGTTTAGTAGGTGAAGCTGTCGCGATGGTGCAGGGAAAATTGCAGCGGTACTTTAACAAGGCCCCGCCCATCTTTTATCTACATCCACCTATCGCCGGTCATGCGATGTGGGCGGAGAATCACGCATTCCTGTTGGAGAGCAGCATGAACGTGCTCAGCCGTTGCTACTACTTGCGCGACTCCCATGAATCCACGGATGTCCTGCTGGTGTTTGACCGCCTTGACCGCTCACTGCGGGATACGGTGCGGCAGAGGTATGTGGAATGGAAAACAGACCTGCCGTCGAATCCTGGCGAGTACCTTGACCGCTTCCTCATTACAAAACGGGCCAACGGCCCCAAGTACGCCCCTGCCTTGTACGATGTGAATTTTGCACCGGAGCTGCTGCTTCTGTTTGCTGAGGCACGCTACTGGCAGAGCTTGGGTGAGTCTATTCCCCCGCAGATCACCGACATTGTGTCAAAGGAAGAGCGGCTGCGCGTATTCCGCGAGAGCGTGGCGTTGGCAGTGCGGGCGCATAACAATGTCATCCTCTCACTTACCAAAGAGGAGTGCCGCCTCTTTGCGTTGCGGCTCAACTTCTTGGAGAGCAAGTACATGCCTGGCATGGCACGGCTGTGGTGGAACTCGCAAGGCATCGTCGAGTACTTTGTGCGGGAGTGCCGCCAGCAGGCGGAGCGAATCCAGTACGTTGTGGATGAGTTCAAATACGGCGCCGAATACGTTGACCACCACTGCAGAGTCATCGCTGACACTGTCGCCGTCATCTTCGAGAAGAAGAAGGTGTACACTATTGAGGCCTTCGTGGAGAAGCAGAAGTGCCACCGTGAGGCAGTGCTGGAGAAGCTGCAGAACATCCATCAGCGATTGGTGCAGAAGTTGTACGAACTGTTGAGTTACTTCCGCGAGGATTACATGCAGGATGAGTCAGTGCGTGTAGAGTGGCACCGGTTCGTGGCGAAGGTGGAGCTCAAGGTGGAGGAGGCGCTGCGCACTATGGTGAAACGGTCACTGCAGACCGTGGAGCGGGCGCTTCCCCTTGAGCCCTCTGAGGACCGCATGGAGGAGAAGGTCTTCAGGCTCGACGTCGTTATCACGGTGGCCGGCGACACAAAGCCGCACATTGAGTCCGTGCCGTCGGTGAAGGAGTTGAGCTATCAGGTGAATGATATGTGCAAGGAGATCATCGGCATTGTGAAGCACATACCCCGCCTGGAGGAGTCCATGAAAGCCTACGTGGGGAAGGAGACGCCAGAGGAGAATGACGCACTCAAGCGGATTCAGCTCGATTACACGAACCCAAATGAGGACAGCGTCGCACTGCGCGGTACCTATTTTGAGTACATGACCAGTGAGCAGGATGCGATTCATTGCCTGCGCCGTATTCGTGAGTCCTTCGATGCACTGGAAGAGAAGGTACGGGACAAGTTGAGCCAAACATGGCAGCTGCATCAGTCAGGAACGACCGACAGCCTCTGGACAACACAGAAGCAAGATCGCCGTATCAAACAGGGTTGGCGGCTTGAGGACTACCGCATCCACATGGACCACGTTGCGCAGCGGCGTGAGGGTATCAACAAACAGGAGACTTTTACGGACGTCTTATTCCTGCAGCTTGACTTTACAAAGATGAAGGAGACTTTCCGTGTGCAGTGCCAGCTGGTAATTAAGCACTACCACAGTCTGCTGTACGCCGACGCCAAGGAAGAGATGGATCGCATCTACAAAAACTTCATCACAACTGTGCAAGCACTTACAAGGGAGCCGCAGACGCTTGACGAGCTCGGTGATCAGATAAAAAGATGCACTGCAGCCGTGGAGTCACTGCCTGAGATCTCCGCAAAGTTTGGCCCTGTCGCGGACACCTTTGTCCTCATCACGAACGATCTGTACAACCACGGAAGTGTCGATCCGGAGGACGTGCGCCGCTGTGAGGGGTTACCAGTTGCCTTTGAGGCGTACTCGGACCAGCTCGCCAAGGCACGACAGCTGCTTGCCAAGTACAAGGAGCAGTTTCGTCATGACTTGGAGACAGACTTGCGTGCGCTCGTGTCAAATTCCTTCGCTCTGCGGCAGAAGGTGCAGGATGAAGGGCCGCGGACGTACGCCTTCACCACAGCGAATGCGTTTGCGCAGTTGGGTTTGCTTGACGGCCGTGCGAAGGAGCTGCGCGATACGGAGGCGAGTCTGCGGCATGGCATTGAGATCTTCCACTTGGAGAGCCCGCCGCTCGATGACCTGGCGGCGGCTGAAGCAGATCTGCGGGTTCTGCGGACCATCTGGACTCTCTGCGATGAGTGGCGTACACAGAGCCGCAAGTGGCGCACAATGTATTTCATGCAGCTCAACAGCGAGGAAATGCTGGATGTGTCCGAGCGTATTCGCAGGGAGGTGCTGCGGCTGCGCGGGGAGCTGCAGGTCACCGATGTGTGGGTGAAGCTAAAGGAGGAAGTGGAACTGATGAAGCGGCTGCTACCGATTGTAGATGATCTCCGCACTCCTGCGATACGCCCGCGCCACTGGGAATTTCTGAAGGTGCAGCTCGACGCCAACTTCGACATCAACGACGATAAGTTCTGCCTGAACGACTTGATGGAGGCGCGTGTGGAGGCACAGGCAGAGTTTGTCGTAAATCTCGCCACCTCCGCACGTGAGGAAATGAAGATTGAGGTTGACCTGGAGAAGATACGTACCTTCTGGGATGATACAACGCTGACAATCGAGCCACACCGCGGATACCACAAGATATCTGGCGTGGATGACATCAACAATGTCCTCGCCGAGCACCTCGCCATGCTGAGCGCGATGAAGATGTCACGTTTCGTGGACAGTTTCCGGCCAAAGGTGGTACAGTGGGAGCAGACGCTGTCGATGGCTACCGACACCATCGAGGCGCTGCTGACGGTGCAGACGAAGTGGATGTATCTGGAAAATATCTTCATTGGTAGTGAGGATATCAAGCGCAAGCTCGCTGCGGAGTCAAGGAAGTTCGACAGTGTGCACTCGCAGTGGCTGTCGATCATATCACGTCTCATAAACGACCCCAACGTTGTGCGGGGGACGCGGCGCGATGGGTTGATGGAGCAACTTAACGGTATGAACACCGACCTGGAAATGATACAGAAGAGCCTTGAGGGATTCCTTGAGGATCGCCGCCGTGTGTTCCCGCGCTTCTACTTCCTCTCAAATGATGATCTGCTGGAGATACTTGGTCATACAAAGGAGCCGGCGAAGGTCCAGCCGCAACTGCGCAAGTGTTTTGAAGGGCTCTACCAGTTAACGCTCAAGACGGTGCGGCAGAAGGTCACAGCCGAGGCGATGTCGTCGTCGGATGGTGAGACTGTCGCGTTCACCCCGCCAGTCTTGGTGGAGGGTGTGCCAGTGGAGACGTGGCTTCGGCGTGTAGAGATGAAGATGCGGGAGATGATGCAGAAGCGCATCAACCTCACACTGGAAGATCTGCAGAAGAATGTCTTTGACGCGAAGAAGCCGATTAAACGTGATAACCTCAAGGCATGGGTGGAGCGTAACGAGGGCCAATCACTCATCACTGCCGCCTGCATCAACTGGACACTGCTGACAGAGCTTGCCATCATGGAGTACGGTGAGCTACACGCTGATGGACTCAGCCTACAGCGCCGCAAGGCTTCTCCACTGTACAAGGTGTACAAGCGATGGAAGGGACTCATCAAGAAGTACTGCCAGCTAGTGCGCCAGCCTCAGAGCCGGATGCAACGTAATAAACTCGTCGCAGTAATCACAATAGAGGTGCACTCCCGCGACATCCTCCGCCAAGTGCTCGCCTTACGCGTGCATCAGGAGGATGACTTTGAATGGTCACGGCAGCTGCGCTTCTACAAGGAGGATGACGATACTGCCGAGCGGCCTCAGGATGCGGCAAAAGTATGCATTGTGCGGCAAGCCTCTGCAACTGTGCGCTACGACTACGAGTATCTCGGCAACAGCGGTCGTCTCGTCGTGACAGGGCTAACAGACCGCGCGTACATGACACTCACGACAGCTCTGCAGCTGCACCGTGGCGGCCTCCCACAAGGGCCAGCAGGAACTGGCAAGACAGAGACAGTGAAGGACCTCGGCAAGGCGATTGGTAAGTATGTCATGGTGTTCAATTGCTCCGATGGCCTCGACTACAAATCGGTGGGGCGTATGCTGAGCGGTATTGCGCAGACAGGATCATGGTCGTGCTTTGATGAGTTCAACCGTATTGAGGTGGAGGTGTTGTCAGTGGTGGCGCAGCAGATTTTGTCAATCCTCACTGCAGTGGCGGAGCGCAAGTCACACTTCCTCTTTGAGGGCTCTGATATCCCGCTCAACATGAACTGCGGTCTCTTTGTGACGATGAACCCTGGATACGCAGGTCGATCTGAGCTGCCCGATAACCTCAAGGCGCTTTTGCGGCCCATCTCAATGATGGTGCCTGATTTTGCCCTCATCTGCGAGATCACACTTCTCTCTGAAGGCTTCGAAGAGTCGGAGGTGTTGTCGAAGAAGGTGTCGATTCTGTACGAGTTAATGGAGAAGCAGTTGTCAAAGCAGGATCACTACGACTTCTCCCTGCGTAACATCAAGGCGGTGCTTGTTCAGGCGGGTAATCTAAAGCGGGAGGACTTCCCTGGCACAGAGTCACAGCTCTGTCTCAAGGCGATGAGCGACATGAACTTGCCAAAGTTCATCAAGGAGGATGTACCGCTGTTCCTCGGCATGTTGAGTGACCTGTTCCCTGGCGTGCAGCCGGAGGAAAGTGGCCTCGACAAACTCCGCGAGGCGTCAGAGAAGGAGCTACAGGAGGAGGGCCTCGAGGTGAGCATGCATATTGTGACCAAGACGCTGCAGCTGTGGGATACGCTACGCACCCGTCATGGTGTGATGGTTGTCGGGCAGACGGGTTCCGGTAAGACAGTGACCTGGCGTAACTTGAGCGGTGCGCTGCGGCGACTGAAGGAGTCCAACGTGGAGGCTGGGCTGTACGAGCCGGTCCGTGTCACACTTCTGAACCCTAAGTCGGTCACAATGGATGAGCTGTACGGCAGCTACAACCAGGCCACACGTGAGTGGAAGGATGGTATTCTCTCCGAAATTATGCGGCAGATCTGTCGTGACGTGACGGACCCTACATACAAGTGGATGCTTTTCGACGGGCCTGTTGACACCCTCTGGATTGAATCCATGAATACCGTGCTGGATGATAACAAGATGCTGACGCTTAACTCCGGCGAGCGTATTGCACTTAACCCGACGGTGCGCATGCTCTTTGAGGTGCAGGACCTCTCGCAGGCCTCACCCGCCACCGTCTCGCGCTGTGGCATGGTGTACTTCAGTGTGGAGGATCTCGGCTGGAGGCCGTTCGTCAAGACGTGGCTTAAGTCACGCTGGAAGTTCGAAATTTCTATGGGGGCCCCGCGGCCGGACGACACCATCCAGGACCTACAGGAGTACATCAACACAACCCTTACCCGCGTGCTGGAGTACCGACGTGCGGAGTGCGTGGAGTTATTCCCCACCTCAATCCTCAATGTTGTACGCTCCTTTACTCGCATGTTTGACGCGCTCGCGAGTGTGGATGCGGCGCCGTGTGTGCCAGGCGGGAATGCGTACGCCACCTCGCACGCGGGCGAGAGTTATCTCCCGCAGCTGCGCATTATGGCGACCTTCTGTCTCATGTGGTCCGCCGGCGGCTCCCTCACGGTGGAGTCGCGACAGAAACTCGATGCCTTCATCCGTGAGTTGGACTCGTCATTCCCGTCGACGGAGACGATCTTTGAGTATTTCCCCGACCTCGCTACACTCCAGTGGAAGAACTGGGAGGACCACACGGACCTGCAGAAGCCGTTCATACCACCACCCGGCACCCCATACCACCATCAGATTGTGCCAACTGTTGACACGGTTCGCTACCAGTACATTGTTAGCGAGCTTGTGCGCAGCCAGGTGCAGCTGGTGCTGGTGGGCAACACTGGCACGGGTAAGTCACTCATTGCACGACAGGTGATGCGCGGCCTCAGCAACGATACACACGTCACAACGCAGTTGAACTTCTCCGCCCAGACCACAGCCAAAAATGTTCAGGATATCATCGAAGGCCGTATGGAGCACAAGTCAAAGAAGGTCTGCTGCCCACCTGGGGGACGGCGCATGATTTGCCTCGTCGAGGACCTCAACATGCCGGCTAGGGAGAAGTTTGGCGCCCAGCCACCACTGGAGCTTCTCCGGCAGTGGATTGATAACGGTTTCTGGTATGACCGCAACACACGCTCACGTCGGCAGGTAAATGACTTACAGCTACTCTGCTGCATGACGTACGGCCGCCCTGATATCACGCCACGTTTGATGAACAAACTGAACGTATTCAACATCACATTCCCGTCCGAATCGATTATAACAAAGATCTTTACCGCCATTCTCTCTCACCGGCTTGAGAAGTACCCTGAGTTGCACAAACTTGTTGATGCAGTCGTCAANGCAACGTTGCAGACGTACCAGAAGGTGTCGAGTGACCTGCTGCCGATTCCAAGCAAGTCTCACTACCTGTTCAACCTTCGGGACCTAAGCAAGGTGTTCCAGGGTATCTACGGCTGCTACATGGAAGGCCTGCAGTGTAAAGAGCACATGGTGGCGCTATGGGCGCACGAATGCTTCCGCGTCTTCTCGGATCGCATGAACGACCCGAATGACAAGCTTTGGTTCCGCAACCTCATCTACGACAGACTCGCAAATGTGTTCCAGACAAAGTGGAGCAACATTATGCGGGCACGATCACGTGAGGCACGCGGGCAGCCCCTCAATGAGAATGAGAACCCGCTCTTCGTCGATTTCTGGGATGGTGAGTACGACGAGATGGCAAAGTACAAACTCGTGCCGTCGATGGAGGCGCTGCGCGACAAGGTGGAGGAGGGTCTGGAGCTCTACAATGGCGAGCCGGGCGCGCGGCAGATGAATCTCGTCTTCTTCACCGACGCACTGGAGCATTTGTGCCGCATTCACCGCATCATTCGACAGCCGCGCGGCAATGCGCTGCTCGTTGGCCTCGGCGGAAGCGGCCGCTACTCACTGACGCGACTCGCCGCATACCTCGCCGGATACACCATCTTCTCCATTGAAATCCACAAGAAGTACGACTCGGACCGCTTCCACGAGGACCTGCGCTCCCTCTACAAGGCGTGCGGGCTGAAGATGCAGCAGAAGGTGTTTTACTTCTCAGACAATCAGATCATGCAGCCTTCCTTTCTTGAGGACCTCAACAACATGCTCTCCACGGGTGAGGTGCCGAACCTCTTTCCAAAGGACGAGCTACAGAACATACGCGACGCGGTGTACAAGCAGGCTATCACCAGTGGCTGCCGTGACACCATGGATGAGATGTACAACTTCTTCATTGACCGTGCACGCGTGAATCTGCACCTTGTTGTCGCCATGTCTCCTGCACACAAGCTCTTCCGCGCGCGTCTTCGGCAGTTCCCGGCATTGGTGTCATGTACTTCCATCGACTGGTTCGTCGAGTGGCCAAACGAGGCGCTGCGCGAGGTGGGCTTGCGCTACCTTGAAGAGACACGCGAGAACACCGAGACGGAGGAGCATCTTGCCCTCATTGCGGATGTCTTTGTGCACATGCACGACACCACCAGCGCCACATCACAGGAGATGCTGGAACAGATACGACGGTACAACTATGTGACGCCATCCTCCTACTTGGACCTGGTGCGCGGCTTCCGCAAGCTCTTTACGCAGAAGCGAGAGGATATACTTGAGCAGCGTGACAAACTTGCCAATGGTATGGCCAAGCTCGAGGAAACCAAACAGGCAGTGAGTAAGATGACGGAGGAACTCAAGGTGCAAGACGCGAAGCTTCAGGAGAAGACGCAGGAAGTGAACCGCGCGACAGAGAGCATTCAGGTGCAGCAGCAGAACGCGGAGGAGCAGCAGAGCATGCTCGCCTCTGAGAAGGTAAAGATTGAGCAGACAAAGCGGGCGGCACTTGCTGATCAAGCCGAGGCGCAAGCAGACTTGGACCGTGCGATGCCAACACTCCTTGAGGCACAGGCCGCACTTGACAAACTCGACAAAAGCGATATCAATGAAATCAAGTCTTATAAAACACCAGCTGTGATGATTAGAACGGTGATGGAGGCCGTGCAAACGACTCTTCGCCGCAAGCTCGACTGGGATGAGGCGAAGAAGTCTCTGGGTGAACCCAAGTTTATTGACATGCTGAAACACTACCATGAGAACAACGATATGACGGACCAGCGGCTGCTTGACAAGATCGAAAAGTATGTTAAGCGGCCTGACTTCACACCGGCGGCGGCAAGTGTGGTGTCCAAGGCAGCTGGTGGTCTCTGCCAGTGGGTTATTGCGATTCACAAGTACGGCAACATCTACAAGGAGGTGCACCCTAAGATCCTTAAGAATGAGAATGCGCAGCAGAAGGTGCGGGCTCAGGAGGAGATGCTGCGGCAGAAGGAGGATAAACTCCAGCGCATCATGGATGAGGTGAAACAGCTCGAGCTCGCACTGCAGTCGAACATTGACGAAAAAACGCGACTCATATTGGAGGCGAAAGAGACGCAGATGAAACTGAACCGCGCCTGCATCATCGTCGACGGTCTCGAGGGTGAGCGCGACCGCTGGATTGAGTCTATCGCCCGCTACGAGGCGGCACTTGGTAACCTTGTTGGCGACACTCTCCTCGCCTGCGGCTTCCTTTGCTACGCTGGCGCCTTCATTGCCGACTACAGGCAGAAGCTGTGGCTCAGCTGGGTGAAGGAGATCAAACGGCTACAGATTCCAATGACGAAGAACTTTGACTTTGTTGACTTCCTCGTTGACCCGACGGAGGTGCGCGACTGGCAGCAGGCTGGGCTTCCCGGTGACGACTTCAGCAGGGAGAATGGTGCGGTGGTGATGTGCGGCACCCGGTGGCCGCTCATGATTGACCCGCAGCTGCAGGCAATAAAGTGGATTAAGCGCATGGAGAAGGACTCTGGGCTGAAGATCATTGACCAGAAGCAGTCGGACTTCCAGAAGACTGTTGAATACGCGGTACAGTTCGGCTGCCCGCTGTTGCTCCAGGATGTGCTGGAGGACATTGACCAGCTTCTCGACTCTGTGCTTTCCAAGACAATTGTGCGCAAGGGCACGAAGTCGATGATGAAAATTGGTGACAACTACGTGGAATACAATGAGAGCTTCAAACTGTACATCACAACACGTTTGTCGAATCCGCACTACACGCCTGAGACATGTACAAAGGTGTGTCTGCTCAACTTTGCTGTCCGCGAGACGGGGCTAGAGGAACAGCTGCTGAAGATTGTGGTGGAGAAGGAGAAGCCGGAGCTGGAGCACGAGAACGAGCAGCTCATTCTTGACACGGCGGCTGCAAAGAAGGAGACGAAGCGGCTTGAGGATGAAATTCTTAACTTGCTCTCCATCTCGCAGGTATCGTTGTTGGAGAACCAGAAGCTTGTTGACACCCTACAGTCTGCGAAGGTCACTGCTGCGAACATTAAGCAGCAACTGAAGGAGGCAGAGGTCACATCGGAGAAGATTCAGAGTGCGCGTGAGCAGTACCGAGAGTGCGCCCGACGTGCGTCGATTCTCTTCTTTGTGCTTGCCGACCTTGGCTCGATTGATGCCATGTACCAATTCGCACTTGACTCGTACATCATCCTCTTCCAGGGCAGTATCAAGCGCTCCTCGGAGAAGATTTCCACCCACACACTGGAGGAGCGGGTGAATACGCTCAACGACTGGCACACCAACGCTGTGTACGCGAATACATGTCGTGGTCTCTTTGAAAAGCACAAGCTGCTATTCGCTTTCCACATGACAATACGCATTCTGCAGGCGGAGGGCCGCGTGAACCTGGAGGAGTACGTCTTCCTCATGCGGGGTGGGCAGGTGCTAGATAAGCAGGGCCACCTGCCTAACCCTGCGCCGTCGTGGCTGTCGGAACGTGCGTGGAGTCACATTCTTGAGCTGGACAAATTGACCAACTTCCACGGCGTGGCAACCTCCTTCGAACAGTCACAGGAATCGTGGCGCAGCTGGTTCCTGCAGGAGAACCCAGAAGATGCGGAGCTGCCCGAGGAGTGGCAGTCCCGCACCGCAGACAACTACATTCAGCGCATGATCTTTGTGCGGTGTCTCCGTCCTGACCGTGTTGTCTTCATGGTGTATGAGTTCATTGAGAAGCAGCTGGGCAGCCAGTTCGTCGACCCGCCGCCTTTCAACCTCAAGGATACATTTGAGGAGAGTGCGAACGTCGTGCCACTCGTCTTTGTGTTGTCGCCTGGTGTAGACCCGACAACGCAGCTGGCGGCACTCGCCCAACACGAGGGGCGAGGTCTCAAGACTCTCGCGCTCGGTCAGGGACAAGGCGACAACGCGAAGCGCGCCATTCAGGAGTGTGCGCAGACAGGCGGTTGGGTGTTCCTTGCAAATTGCCACTTGATGGTGTCGTGGCTTGTAGAGCTAGAGAAGATCATTGAGGACCTATCGGAGCAGCGGCCACACAACGAGTTCCGCCTGTGGCTCAGTTCCGTGCCGACACCGCAGTTCCCCATCGGCATCCTGCAGAAGGCAATCAAGATGACAACAGAGCCACCGACTGGCATTAAGGCGAACATGATGCGTCTGTACAATCAGTTCTCGGACGAGCAATTCATTGAGCACTCTGGTAACAATCCACATTACTACCACAGTCTTCTCTTTTCACTGTGCTTCTTCCACTCGGTGTTGCTGGAGCGTCGCAAGTTTGGCAACCTCGGTTACAATGTCGTCTACGACTTTACCTCCTCAGACTTTGAGGTCTCAGAGAACATTATTGCACTCTACGTAAACAATATGCCGAGTGAACGTGTGGAGGACATCCCGTTCGTGACAATCCGCTACCTCATCGCTGAGGCTTCTTACGGTGGGCGTGTTACCGACGATTGGGACCGCCGTGTGCTGAACACGTACATGGCACAGTTCATGTGCGATGCGATTGTGGCAGAGGATCGTTATCCTCTTTCTGCTGCTGCGGAGTACTACATCCCAGCCGAGGCGACTACCCTGCAGTCGTACAAGGATGAATGCATGCAACTGCCTATCACAGACCCACCAGAGGCCTTTGGGCAGCATGCAAACGCCGATATTGCCAGTCGCGTGGCGGAGTCCACAATGCTGCTGGAGAATCTCATTAGCGTTAACACGACATTGGCGCGAAGTGGCACCTCAAGTTCGAGTTCGGTGAAGGTTGTCTCGGAGGAGGCGCGGTGCCTTGAGATCCTCGCATCACTCGAGGAGCCAAGTAAGGCTGCAATTCCACCACTCATCGACTACGACGCTGTATACGAGTCGGTAAAGGAAGACTCGAACAATGCTCTCAACACCTGCCTTCTGCAGGAAATTCAGCGGTATAACATGCTTCTGCGCAAGGTCAAAGCGCAGAAGAAGGAGCTTCGCCGTGCAGTGAAGGGTGAGGTGGTCATGACGGACGAGCTCGAGGCGGTTTTTACTGCATTGCTTCTGGGTCGTGTGCCGTTGTCTTGGACAAGCGCGTACCCGAGCGTGAAGCCCCTAGCCAGCTGGTCTGTCGACCTCGTGGAGCGTGTGGATCAGATGAAGCAGTGGGGGCAGCGTGTGCCGAATGTCTTCTGGCTCTCCGGCTTCACGTACCCCACCGGGTTCCTAAAGAGTCTACAGCAACAGCAGGCACGTCACGATCACATCTCCATCGACCAGTACACATGGGAGTTTAATGTCCTCCCGAGCGAAGAGCGCACCATCGTGCATCGCGCCAAGAAGGGTGCGTACGTGCGGGGCATTTACCTCGAGGGCGCCGGCTGGAATGAAGAGACCAACACGCTGTGCGAGCCAAGACCGCTTGAGCTGATTGTTTCAATGCCGATTATTCACTTCAAGCCCAAGCTGCGTGATAGCAAGCCGCGGCCGCCGAACATGTACGAGTGCCCGCTGTACATGTACCCCGTCCGCACCGGCACGCGTGAGCGGCCGTCCTTCGTTGTGGCGGTGGATCTTGAGTCCGGTGACGCGGTGCCGGAGCACTACACAAAGCGGGGCACGGCGCTGCTGCTGTCCACTGACGAGTAGGAACGGACCTGGCGCCCGCCGTCATGCTGCGGCTCTACTTACTTGTTGTCATAGATAGAGAGAGAACGAGACGGAGAAAGAAAAGATGTATGTGTGTGTGTGTGTGTGTTTTGGTGTCTGGGAAAGCGAGAGGGAGAAGTGAGGAGAAGGGTATGAGAAGGAATGAATGCAATGGACTGCGAGAGTTTTGACTTTTGATTTTATTTCGCCCTTGTGCTTCTGTGCCACTCGGGAGGTATATAGATACTGTGAGCCTTGCTGCACGCGTGCACAGCAGCCCACCCCACCCACACCTACACTAGAGAGAGGGGGGGAGAGAGAGAGAGAGCAGAGACACACCTTCTACAATGTATGATAACGCGAATGAAGAAAAAAAAAACAAAAAAAAAATAAAGGATATGAGACAGTGACGTTTCCAATCGATGTAAGAAACTGCGACAGGTGCCGTTCTTTAAGCTCGTCAGGACATGTATCTATTTACATTCCCCGCTCCTGTGTGATTGCACGAGTGTACACAAGGCGCCTGCCGTCTCCTCTCATGTTGCGAAAAACTGTTGATGGGACAGCGATAATGATACGGAGCGGAGAGCCTTCCGCTGAGTGCGTGGGATGCATTGAACGAGTGGGCAAAGAATGAGCTGAACTCCAATGACCTCTGCAGTGTTGGCTTCTTTCTTCTTCTTTTTTTTTGGGGGGGGTGGGGGTTTTCCTTGGTTCTGTTGTGTGCGAGTACAGGCGGCGGCGACAGTAGCGATTCGTTCTCTTCTCATCACATTTGCCCCCCGCACGCACACAGAGGCCTGCACACACAAACGCACAGACCTACACACGCGTTAGGCCGGGATGCTGCAGTGGGTCGCGGGCGAGAGGCGCGTCACGAATAGCAAGGAGCTGCGCGACGTGGATATGTACGTCTACGCGCAGCCGGCGGGCCTCCTTGGCCGCTACATTGGCCGCGCGCTGCGCCTCCGCGTGGAGCGCTTCGCCTACGTCGTGGACGCGAATCACCGCATGCTCAGGCGGGTCGAGGTGGACGCGGACTCGCTCCTGCCGCAGTGCGAGGTGGACAGCGGCAAATTCGAGCGGCTCGGGCTGAACTTCTCCGAGGTGGAGCGTGTCGCGATTCGGACGCGCAGACACGTGTTGGACGCCCCGCGCTACCCGCGAATTGTCTACAGCGTCGAGCAGGAGACGCCGGAGGAGGTTGTCGGCTCCCTGCAGCTGCACGGCGAGACACACACGGTGCGCTGCAGCAAGACACTGGAGGGGCCGGAGCTCATTGTGCGCTGTCCCATCAATGCGCGTGAGTTCAACGTGCCGACCTACACGCACATGTTCGGCCTCTTCAGCGTTTCGCCCCACGTCGAGGTGGAGACGCGGGTGCCGCTGAAGGTGCTGAAGCTGTGAGGCAGACGAGAAGATGCGAAGGGAGGAGGATACGTAGTGGTGGGCGAGGGAGGAAGGCGAGAGACATACATAGAAAGGGGNGAGAGAGACGAAGAGGGGAGAGGCGTGATATTCCATGGGGCTTGCACATATGAGTGTGTGTCTGTCTGTGTGTTTGTGGCATATTTTCCCTGACGATTAATTGCACGAACTCCACTCCTTTCCGCTCGCACCACCTACGGTTTGCGTAGTTTCCATCATGGCTGTCTCCAAGTGTGTGTCCATTAATACACCTAACAGCAGCAGCAGCAGAGCCGCTGTTCTCTCTGAGGCGTCGGAGCTGCTGTCGGCGCGGTTGGGGCTGCGGGATCTCGTGGAGCAGCAGCCAGTTGGGGGCGCCCTGTCACCGAGCAGCGAGACGAAAGATGTGCGCTGGTGGCACATTCCGCCTGCGCACCTCGGCGACTGGTGTTGCAACCGCCACGGCACACTTCACGGTGGGTTGTGTCTTGCGCTCCTCTTCGCTTTCTGCAAGGCTCACGTGGGCCTGCGGTGCGGGAGCGGTGGCACAGTGACGCGGGTGCACACGCAGTACATGAGTCCTGTCTCCACCGTCTCGCCGCTCATGGTGCGGACGGCGCTAACGGATGTCAGTGATGACGCCGTGCGGACGACGGCGGAGGTCTACTCACACAAGCAGTACCAATTGGGGCGGGCAGCAGCGCCTCTCTGCGCTGCTTCCATCACTATTATGCGGCGTCCTGCGTACCACTCACATATGTGAAACCAGCTCACGACATATATGGCATTCTTTTTTGTGGACCACTTACAACGTTCTCTCCCTTTTGTGTGTTTGTGTGTGTGTGTGTCTCTCTCTCTCTCTCTNGCATTCTTTTTTGTGGACCACTTACAACGTTCTCTCCCTTTTGTGTGTTTGTGTGTGTGTGTGTCTCTCTCTCTCTCTCTCTGTGTATGTATGTATGTATGTAGTCGCGCTGTGGTGCCAGCCAGTTGGTCGCGTTGAATTTGCCTCTTCACGCCATTCCTCCCCTCTTCACCTCTCTCCGCACCACGTTGTTGCACCGTTGTGCTTGTGGCGCCCTGGCCCTCCAGAAGGTCGACAAACCGCCGAGTAGCGCTGCTGGGACCCACCAGTATCCACGCAATAACATTTGAAGCGTAGTGCCACATCAACACTGCTTTCACACGCAACGGAAACAACAACAACAACAAAAGGGAAAGAACAAGAAATTAAAGATATTGGGGGTCGCCGCTATGCAAAATGAAATGAAATTTCTGCGTGGGCTCATTGTCGGTGCCGGTTCCAGCACTTCCACGCCCATGCTGAGCTGCATCGCCACTGGCAGCCCGTGCCCCACCTGCGCGGAGGCGCTCGAGCGGCCGCGGAGCAGCAGGAACCACCGCCTCAACCCATCCTTCCTCCTACAGATGAGACACCCGACCGATGGCACAGTCCACAACATCCTCATCGACTGCGGTAAGACGTTCCGTGAGTCAGCCATCAAAGTCTTATCCACCGTCGGCGTCGCCGACCTCAGTGCATTGCTGCTTACACACGACCACGCTGATGCCGCATTCGGCATCGATGACCTGCGGGATTACAACCGCCCCGACACCGCACTCGAGGTGTTCACTGATGAGCGAACCGCCGTGTCGATGCAGCGCACGTACCCATACTTGTTCCCAAAGGACGGCCCCGCAGTGGTTGGCGCGTGGCGTAAGAATAAGACGAACTACGTGGCTTCAATAAAGTGGATTACTTTTGAACCGCTGCAGAAAGTTACAATCAACGTGCGCGCCCGTGTGACACCGACCACGGAGGAGGAGGCGGCGGTAGCAACCTGGTCACTTGTGCCCATTGCTGTTCCGCACGGCGTGAACTACTGCGCGAACGCCTTTCTCATGCCGCTGCACATGCCGGGTGAGCACCCGCGTCTACTGTTGTATGTATCTGACATCAGTACGCTCGAGGAGAGGTTCTTTACTGACGTCGCGAAAGCCAAGGAGATTTTGGGCGTCCCGGTGTCGACACCTATTGAGGTGCTTCTGCTTGATATGGTGTCACGCAACCCGTACGTCTCTCATCTACACGTCGATGCCTCTATCGAGGCGGCGCGTAGGATTCAGGCAGGCATGACGTACTTTGTGGGCATGTCGCATTCATTGAACTACGGGGCTATGACACAGGAGCTGCGAAGTCTAGGAGTGGGTGATCGGATGGCAATGGGCTACGACGGATGCGTCGTTGCGGTCGGCAAGGACACTTCTGCGCAGCTCTGATTATATTCGGATGTGAATGATGGGATGTTGCGGCGAATGAATGAAGGGGAATTTGGTGTTTGTGATGATGGTGGTGCATGCAGCGGCAGCAGTAGACACCGCCCAGCACAACAAGAGAGTATATAGGGCAAGTATATATGTATATGTATTTCTCATTCTCTCAGTGGATTACTTTCTATGTTTAGTTGTTTTTTTTTTTTTTTGTTTTGGTTTGCTGTTTCTTTTTTGACGTCTCTAACAGAGTATAAGATTTATAATCGGATGTGCCAGTGATCGCGGAGCACATGGACCTGCATGTGGTGTCGATTGAGTGCTCCCTCACCAAGCCTGACGCCTCGCTCGGTGACGCGGCGATGTGCCAACTGTTCCACCGCGTGCCCGCCCGGTGCCCGCTGCTGCACCTCTTTGGCCACGTCTCCACCCGGCGACACGACGGCGATGCGTCGCGGGGCTCCAATGGCGCCACAGCGGCAACAGCGGGGGTGGGGGGCGCTGTTGAGCAGCACACCATCTGCGTGCACGTGCACGGGGTGTATCCGTACTTCATGGTGGAGCAGCACGACACGCGCGTCTCTGCGATGCAGTTCGGCGCGCAGCTCGAGACGGTGGCTGTTTCGGCTCTGCGCCTCCGCACATCCGCGGCGGTGGAGCCACCGCAGGTGCTGCATCACGTGGAGGTGGTGCGGCTGCTACCCTTCTACGGCTACCACGCACGTCCGCGGCGCTTCTTCAAGGTGAGCGTGATCGACCCCGCCATGGTGCGACGACTTGCCGACTTGCTGCGCGGCAGCACGCATGTTGCGGGTCGGCGCTGGGACGTGTATGAAGCGCACACGCCGTTCCACTTCCAGTTCATGGTGGACTACGGCGTCAAGGGGATGGCGCCGTTCCGCATTCCAGTGTGCACCGCACGCGCGCCACTCCCTGTGGGGCTTCAGACGGCGCAGCTGCACATCGCCGCGGTGCTGCCGAGCGGCGAACCGCCACGCCTCACGTGTGCGGAGGTGGAGATCGATGTGGCGGCGTGCGCGCTCCACCAGCGNGCGGTGCTGCCGAGCGGCGAACCGCCACGCCTCACGTGTGCGGAGGTGGAGATCGATGTGGCGGCGTGCGCGCTCCACCAGCGCGGTAATCGGATGGAGCCTGGTGAAAATCTTCTCTCCGTCCGCCGCAGCGTGCGGGATTACTTTGCAGACTACGGTGTCGACGACACGATACGGCGTGGCGCGGGGATGGATACCACTGCCCGCTGCTGCAGTGTCGCGGATCTGCAGCGCTGCGATCCTGCCGTCGCTGCGATGCAGCAGCGGGCGATTGCGTACCTGCGCGCACGCACCGCCGCAGTTGTTGTTGTTGCTTCTGCTGACCCCAATGCTCTATCTGCATTGTTACAGCGGGAAACACCATCCACGCAAGGTGAGAGGGAGAATCCAGCCAGCGCCGCCTCACCGCACAACGGTATCACGCAGAAGCTCCTGGAGGAGATGCGGCGCAGCCACACTGGCACCGCACCGCTTGTGTTGTCTGCGTCAGACTCCACTGCGTCACCGCAGCGTTGCGACGCGAATGACGGAGACACGGCGCTAAAGGCCCCTGAAACCTCATCGACTTCCTCATCTCTATCCCAAAACGAAATGGGTGAGGCGGGGAGAGAGGGTGCGGAAGAAGAGGAGAAGGAGGATGACTATGATGACGGGGAGCGCTCATTGCTGTCAAGCAACAGCAGCCGTGTGCGAGTGGTGGACATCAGTGACGCAAAGCTGGACGTTGGTGACTCCGTCGTGCTGCTCGGTCTGCGGGCGGAGAGAGATGCACCGTCGTCACCCACCGTCGCGAAGATAACGGCGCTTGGCAGCGGCAGCGTGCGGCTGCAATGGTACCTCACGCTTGGCGAGACGCACCTTGCCGACAGCCAGCGCGAGCTCGAGCGGCGCGGGCGTTGGCTTTCGAAGGGCGTGACCTCAGCGGCGGAGGAGTTGCTGCTGGGCGACGTGGAGGATGACAACCCCGTCGAGGTGCTGGCGCACGCCTCGCGGGTCGCGGTACGGCACTCGGTTCGTGCCTGCACTAGTGACGCGCTGCTGTGCCGCTACCGCTACCACGTGTCGGAACAGCGCCTGTCGCCTATTCCGCCGTGTGCGGGTGGAGAGTTTGTGGTATTCCCGGCGGCACTGCTTCCGCAGACTGCTGGTTGCACAACGGCGGGCGTTGTGGATGAGGGTGAGGAGCTTCTGTCAGCTTCCTCTTCTTCCACGTTGTCGTCGTCGTCTGTTGTTGCTACTGCGGCTTCTGTGATTCGTGGCGGGGCTTCCTCTGATGTGAGCGTGGTGCCTGGAGCCTCACAATTACGGCAGCAGCGAGAGGCGGGCGGAGTGAGCAACACGCCGGTGGTGCTGCAGCGATCCGTGTCGAAGGTGCGGCAGCAGGTGGTGCAGTCGCAACTATCGCTGCTGCTCAGCTGCGCAGGCTCGTCACCGCGCGCATGCCGGCCTCTCTCGCTGCCTGAGGTGGCTAGTGGTGGGGCGGATTCGCAGCCTTCCTCTTCAGTGCAGCTCGTTGACACTGGCCACGCTAAATTCTTGCTAAAGTTTCGAGAAAACCCGTCGCGCTTGCAGCCGTGCTGCATCGCAGGCGATATCCCTCGCAACTTCCGCTGGATTTATGACAGGGATCGCAATTGTATGGTGGTGTCTGCTGCCAGCTGGCCATTTGCCACGCCCACTTCTGTTGCTGCTGTTGGGGACAGTGCTGTGGCACCTGTGGTGGGCGCCGATCGTGCGTCGGTGCCGCTGCTCACACACATCGCCCCATCACAAGCCACACCACCTGAGAGGCGAGGCACACCAAGTGCAAAGCAGACGTGGCGACCACACGCATCGTCCAACGTGTCGCACTCGCTGCAGGGAGGTGCCTACGTGACGTGTGCCCTCCGTGTGATGTGTGTGGAGGTGCTCATCCGCCGACAGCGCGGGGCGCAGCACGTGGCGCAAGAGCAACTCCTTGCCGTGGCGCTCGGCCGCACCACCACCACCGCTGCGACGGTGAGCGTGCGTCTCTTCTGCGTGTCTCAGGCAGGGGCGGCAGCATCACCAGCAGCAGCAGGAGGAGCCGCGGCATCGCGGCGATCGCTGCCACTCGGCGACGCAGTGGATGTTGTGCACGTGCCGTCCGAGTCTCACCTCCTGCGGCGTGTACGGCGGGAGCTGCGCGGCTACGACCCCGACATTATTCTGTCGTGGGACGGGGCCAAGTACGGCGCGGGGCTCCTCGCGCTGCGCTACCGTGCCGTCCTGCAGCGCAGCCTCGCGCGCGATTTCTCTCGCCTCACCACCGACATTGACATTCACTCTGCGGATGATGATGATGATGATGACAATGATGGCGACGACGTGGTGTCAGCAGCGACATCGTCATCATCGTCGTCGCTGGCGGGTGACAGTGGCAACTCGGCGGGGAGTGGTGCGAGGCCACGTGCTGCTGATCCCCCGAGCGTGGGTGACACCATGAAGCGTCTATCGCGGCGTTTTGGCACCAGCGTGCGAATCGCCGGTCGCGTCGTGATTGACCTAGGCAAGCAGCTCTCCAAGGAGCTGCAGCTGCCGTCGCACACGCTGCAGATGGCACACCAGAAGCTATTCCACGGCAGCCTGCCGTACTTCACGGATGTGGCGTTGGCGGAGATGTACACCGGCAGCGGTGGCGGCAGCGGCATTGACGAAGGTGAGGTAGAGGCAATGCGGCGCGTGGCGCTCTCTGTACTCCTCACACGCGCCGTGACGCCACACCACATTGCACAGCACCTCCATTTCTACACCCGTACCGCGGAGTTCTCGCGGATGTACGGCATTCTCTTCCACGAGGTGCTGAGTCGGGGCAGCCAGCACCGCGTCGAGGCGACGCTGCACCGCATGGCGAAGCCTATCGGCTACGCGATGCTATCGCCGTCGCTCGAGCAGGTGCACCGCCAGCCGCGGCTGCAGAGCATGCCGCTCATCATGCAGCCGCGTAGTGGCTTCTACAAGAGCGACCCGGTCGTTGTGCTGGACTTCCGCAGCCTCTACCCGAGTATCGTCATTGCGTACAACATCTGCTACTCCACCTGCCTCGGCTCAGTGGCGAAGTGCGGCCGCGGTCGTCTCGGTGTGCTGCCGTCGTATGTGCAGGCGGATCCGCTGCTGCTTTCACTCCTCGCCGATGAAAAGTCCGGCAGTACATCACACCGCGTGACGTTCGCGCCGAACAGCTGCATGTTCTTGACGCCAGAGACACGCGAGGGTGTCCTCCCACGCATGCTGCGCGCACTCCTCGAGACACGCTTCGAGGTGCAAGCGGCACTGAAGCACGTGGCACAACCGCGCCAGGACGTATACATGCAGCGTGTTCTTCACGAGCAGCAGCTGGCTATAAAGATGCTCGCCAACACAACGTACGGATACACGGCTGCCTCCTTTACAGGACGAATGCCATGTGCCGATATCGCCGATGCTATTGTGCTGCTTGGGCGACAGACGCTCGAGCGGGCGATGCGGCTCATCAGCGGCCACCCAACGTGGAAGGCGGAGGTGGTGTACGGCGACACTGACTCGCTCTTCGTGCGGTTGCCGGGGCGAACAAAGGAGGAAGCGTTCCTGCTGGGCGAGCAGATGGCGCAGGAGGTGACGGCCGTCAACCCCTCACCCATCCAGTTGCAGTTCGAAAAGGTGCTTCTGCCGTGCCTGCTGCTTGTCAAGAAGCGGTACGTCGGCTACGCGTACTTCAAGCCAGAGCAGCAGCAGCCGCAGTTCCTCGCGAAGGGCATCGAGACAGTGCGCAGGGATCAGTGCGCGGCGACATCACGCCTGGCGGCAAGCATGATCCACGCGCTCTTCACCGGCTCCTCAGTAGAGGCGCTGCGTGCGCGCTTCTACGCGGAGGTGGGCAAGCTACAGCGCGGCGAGTGCAGCCCAGCGGACTGCATCTTCCGCAGAGCGGTGAGGCTCGGCCGGTACCGCAGTGACTCCAGGCTGCCGCTTGGTGCACGTCTGGCGCTGCAGCTGATGGAGAAGGACGTCATGCACACGCCCTACTGGCGCGAGCGCATGCCGTACGTGGTGGTGCAGCCTATTGATTCCGCGCGCCTGCGTGACCAGGTGGTGCACCCACAGCGGCTGCTGAGCATGCAGGAGGATTTGCGCATTAACAGCGAGTATTACATCATGCGCCACATCATCCCCACACTGGACCGCATGTTTTATCTTGTCGGCGTGAGCTGCGCGAGTTGGTACGCTGCAATGCCGCGACGACGTGCCTACCGTAACTACTTTGACCTGAGACTGGCGGATCTTTCGCTTACAGGCGTGAAGAGGACACGTTCCTGCCGTGAGGCCGTCGTTATCAACGTCAATGACACGGAGGGTAACACGAGCGATAGAGAGAATCCAATCCCACCAGCCGACATGACGGTGTGCCGGGTGAAGAAGCGGACCCTGGATGCATATTACCAACAGACGCTGTGTGTAGTTTGCCTTGAGGAATGCGCTAACACGCCCCCACCGAATCCGCCCATCTGCTCTCGCTGTCTCTGTGACCGCACAACTTCTGCTGTGCGTGTTGTGGCGCGCCGCTGCGGTGTGGAGCGGCGGTTGCGGCTGCTGGAGACGGCGTGTCTGCGCTGTATCGGCACGTGTGGTGAGGCGGGTGGACCGAGTTTCGTTGCTGGCATGGAGCGAGACATGGAAGACATGCACTTTGCCATTCCACGCCGTCTTGCTGCTGCGCAAGGAGAGGAACTTCGCTGCCTTTCCATTGACTGCCACTTGTCATTTGAGAAACGACAGCTCTTCCGGCTGTATTCGCAGCTGATGGCGATAGAGCGGTACGTGACGAGCCTGTGAGCAAATCACCCTGCTTCCTTCACAATACCACACACATGTTGTCTCCTTCACTCCCTTTGACATCTCAGCCTGCTGCTTTGCCAGACATATTTTGATTTTTTTTTTTTTTGCTAGTCTTCCTGATTGGCATAATATATCGTTGCTTGTTTTTTGGTTTTCTTTTGCTTGCTTTCTCTGTCTTCTTTTCATCGTTATGGGACATCTCCCGGCCTTGCTGGACCACCAAGAGGAGGTTTTTATACCGGTTCAATGCGGCGTGTGGCTGCGAGGGCGGTGCCGCCGCTGGTATGCGGCGCGACTCACACTGCGCTCAGGCGGCACGTGGCCGCGAACAACGGCACGACGACGGAGCTGCAGGTGTCCGACGGGGCGGACTTGTGCTCGCCCTTCCTCGAATCGCTGCTGGATCCGCCAACGAGAGTTGTGCTCGAGGACGCAACACGCACGTACAGCACGATGGACGTGGTGGATCCGCCGGTGCGGTACGACCCACACACACCTAACGTGGAAGCGTCGCCGTCACTACTTGAAGAGGAAGAGGGAGCCGCTGCAGATGGCCCTGTTGCCTCTGCACATCGTGCAGGAAAGCTATGGTCCGTTTTTATGGATGCAGCCGCGGACGGCAGTGAACCCCCAGTGTGGTTCTACAAGCTCTGCGAGGACTTATATTACCGGCGAAACAGCGAGGATGAGATGGATGCGGCGGCGTTGGCTGGCGATGTGATTTCGCAGCGCCACTCCACTTCTGCAGACACCGTGGGCGCCGAAGACGACACCGACAATAACAACAACAACAACGAGGACGATGGCGTTGATCCGTACTTGTGGTTGCCGTTCAATCTACTGGATGAGGCAGACTACCGCGTCGGCCCCTACCATTTTGCAAGCACAGCAACGTATACCCACGAGCAGCGCACACTGTTGTGCTTGGGCAATACACGCAAAGAGTATGTGCACTTCTGCAACACATACGCCTTCCCTGAAAGGGTGCAGATGCCAACCTCTTTGGGGACACAGCCAGCTAAGCTGTATGTGGACCCGCTGCAAAAGGCACCGGTGGTTTACATTCAGCTCAGTGACGATTTCCCACCCGCCATGTGGCTGCCTGTAAAGGGCACCGCTGCTGCTGTTCGCCGCGTGCTGTCAGAGTTTGCCTCCATGGCAACATTGCATCGTGATTGGCACCATAAAGACTTTGAGGAGCGCTTTGCGACAGCTAGGCGGCTGTTGGAGCTGCAGCGTATGCCGTCGAGTGACAGTGATATTCTGCGCTTCATGGCATATGACGCGCGCAACGCACAGTTCGTGTTTGCACCGATTCGCGAGTTCCCCAATCAACAGGAATTCTTTCTCGGTGAATACGACGACCCGGAGCGCTTCATGGAGCACATTGATCTCTGCCCCTTCCTCTTTGCTATCCCGCACATGCGAACCGTAACGGACCTACACGCTGAGCACATGACACCCACAATCGAGGGACCCGGCGTTGCCACGTCGCTCTACCGCTGCGTCTTCTCCAAGGCCCTTCTCTTCGTGCAGGTGCAGCTCTCCGCGGAGGTGAAGCTCCCTCCACAGGACCCAGAGGCGTTCCGATTCATGTGGAAGGACTCTCAAGTGGTGCCAAAGATGCACATCCCCGTGTTTGTGCGTGTGGTGTGGCCAGACAATGAGCGCATGTGCGGTGGCGGCCAACTAGTGCGCCGCTTTAATCGCCTCTTCAAAACGGAGTTCGCCCACGACATCCCCATTGATGCGGTGATGACACTCCTGTACGTCATGCAGTGGGCAAAGCAGCTACCGAGTTTTCTCGGTGTGCGTGGTATGCGACAGCGCCTCGCTGAACTGGAGGCGGCGGCAAGGTTGCCGGAACGAGCGCTGTTGTACCCGGCCACGCGAGAGATTCCTAACCCCGAGTACACCATTGCAGAACGCCTCGGTATGCATGTGCAGTATCTGGCGCAGCTTGGCGACCCCGACATCGCCGCAACAATACAGCGTCTTCTGCCAGAGGCCTCTGCACCTGTTCGCATGGGGTGTGCCAAGGCGGCACTCATCGCCGGGGACAGAGAACTATTTCGCCACATTGTTAGTAGCGAGCCACCTGGGCGCATGCAAACATACATGACGAAGCTCGTGAGGAAGCGCAAATCGCGAGATTTGGTTGACCCAGAGCCGCGTCTGCTCGAGGAACAGTATGAGTTTGCGGCCCCACTCTGGACGAAGCGTGGTACACGCATTGACAACAACACTCTGGAGGGCGCGGTAGATCTTCAGGGCAGGCTTGGTGGATAATTTCTGCTGGTGCTACTACTACTACTACTATTGGTGTGGACTTACGTCCTTCTCGTCTTTACATTGGTCACAGACATGGTGTGCATGCGTGCATTGAGGCAACTGATGCTGTGTGCGCGTGATAAATTCGCACTCCCCTCTTCCTTATGCCTTTTTATCGGTTTCCTAAAATGCTCTTCGTCACCTCACTCTCTTTTTATCCTTTTATCTGTTGATTTTGTTGTTGTTGTTGAGCTGTCACGGGACGGGCGGTGTATTTGAATTTTCGCGCGCTGCGAAGGGACATGGCATCCAAACGCCCTCGGGAGGCGTGCGAGTCGGAGGACTGCAGTGAGCCGCCACCACCGCCTCCTCCTCCTCCTCCTCCTCCACAACAGCAGCAGCAGAGAGAAGAAGCGGAGCCCGGCGTGCATCGGTCGCTGAGGGAGACCCGCTTTGCGGGCCGCTCGATGATGGATGGCTTTCAGCAGCAGCTGGGTCCGTACGAGGCGCCCGACGAGGCGGCGGATGTGGAGGACTTGATGCATGGCTATGAGGACTTTGGCGATCTTCCAGAGGACCGCCGCCAGGCACTGCTGGAGTCGGTTCGCGTGCTGGCACGCAAGGCCGCAGGAGCTAAGAGCTCAAACCAGCTGGAACACCTCCGCGTCAAGGCGTCGTGCCTCCCCGGCTTCAAAGACACCGCGCGGAAGTCGGAGCTCACCGCAGCGTACCGCCAACTGGTCCGTGCTGGCGAGCTGCAGGAGTCGCCGGCGGTCGAGGAACTGTTGGTGCGGAAGCGTGGCAAGTCGCACAGCGGCGTGCTTGTCGTGACAGTCTTCATGGGGCCGGGGCAGTTCTCGTGCCCGAAGGACTGCCACTACTGCCCAAACCAGCCTGGAATCGCACGCTCGTATCTGCTAAAGGAACCAGGTGTGTTGCGCGGCTATCGCAACGGATGGGACCCCATCCGGCAGTTTTATGACCGCGCTAGTGCGTTGGAGAATAATGGTCATGTGGTGGACAAGATTGAGCTCATCATTCTCGGCGGCACATTCTCCTTCTACCCGAAGAAGTATGTCGAGGAGTTCATGACGGGCTCCTTCTACGCTGCCAACACTTACTACGACTCTGCTCCACTGCGCCCCATGAAGAGTCTAGAGGAGGAAATCACATGCAACGAGGAAGCCCGCTGTCGCATCATTGGCGTTACCGTCGAGACACGCCCGGACTACATCACCACCACAGAATTGCGGCGATTTCGCTCGCTTGGTGTCACACGTGTGCAACTTGGGGTTCAACACCTGGACGATGATATCTTGACTATTGTAAACCGTGAGTGCCCAACAGCCAAGACGATTGTTGGCATCAAACGACTGCTTGATGCTGGCTTTAAGGTGGACGCGCACTGGATGCCTGATCTACCCGGTAGCAGCTACCTAAAGGACCGGGAAATGTTTGAGTATCTCTTCTCTGCTGACAACGAGAACTTTCAGGTGGACCAGTGGAAGGTGTACCCAACCGCTACGGTGCCGTATACGAAGATTGAAGAGTGGTACCGCAATGGACTCTACAAACCGTATGCGGAGATCGAGGGTGGGACGTGGATGGTGAAGTTGCTTGTGTACATTATGGAGCACTGTCCCCATCGTATTCGGCTGAATCGCATCATTCGCGACATCCCAACAACATACATCATGGGCGGCGAGCGGCGGTGCAACCTGCGGCAGGTAATTGAGGCGGAGATGAAAGCGAAGGGCATCCGTTGCAGGGATATTCGAGAGCGGGAGTGTAAGGGAGCCCCTGTTGACCGCAACCACACTAAACTGTTTGTTGATGAGTTCCGTGCGAGCGAAGGCACGGAGTTGTACCTCTCTGTGGAAAACATGGAGCGGACAACGCTCTACGGCCACCTGCGCTTGCGGCTGCGCGACGACAGCAGTGCGGCGAATGCACTTTACAAGGCACTTGAGGGCAGCGCGTTAATACGCGAGCTGCACACATACGGGCGGCTTGTGGCGGTGTCGCGGCCTAACTCCGGCAACGAGGCGCAGCACATGGGCGTCGGCACACAGCTGATGCGGGAAGCGGAGCGCTTGGCGTTGGAGCGCGGCTTCACGCACATCGCCGTGATTGCAGGCGTCGGCGTGCGACGGTACTACGCAAAGCTCGGATACGAGCTGCAGGACACGTACATGGTGAAGCGCCTCGCAACAGACGGCGCCAACGTCATCACGGAGGAGCAGGTGGTGCAGGACGACGACAATGAAAACATCGGCTTTTTCTCCAAATTGAAGGGTCTATTCTTCGGGAGTTAAGCGTGTGGGCCGATGGCGACCCTCTTCACGCCATCACACTCCGACGAGCGATTAAGTGCGAGGGAATGTTGGGCTGCTCCTTCTTTAAGAGACCAGAGCGTATATACATGCTCACATGCACCCTCACACGCACACAGACACAAGGAAAGGAAAGGAGAAGTGTGGAATGAAGAAAAGAGTGCTTGCGCATGCATATGCGTGCAGGTACGGTGTGACAACACGCAAACCTCTGTGTGTGTGTGTGTGTGTGTGTGTGTACCCCGCCCTTACACACCCCAAGCTTTATTACACTCATTATATGTACCATCTATGTGGACTCTTTTTTGTTTNAGTGTGGAATGAAGAAAAGAGTGCTTGCGCATGCATATGCGTGCAGGTACGGTGTGACAACACGCAAACCTCTGTGTGTGTGTGTGTGTACCCCGCCCTTACACACCCCAAGCTTTATTACACTCATTATATGTACCATCTATGTGGACTCTTTTTTGTTTTGGCTGTTGTATGGATGCGTCTTTTCTTTTCCGTTGCACTTTCGCCCCTTCCCTCTTCTTCTTGTTTCGACTTCTTCTTTACTAGCCACAGCGTTGTGTGGAGCAGTAGCAAGTAGGAAGCGGGGTGCTTGGGGTGAGAGACGACGTTGAGTATGAGGCGCATGTGTAGGGCGGGCTTGGGACCCCTCAGCGGCGCCACGCTGGCGTCAGCACCGCTATTGTCATCAGCGTCCCCGTCCTCGCCGTCGCCGTCAGCGCAGGTGCTGCTTCAGGCTTCACGCTGCGCTGCGACTACGTCCACACCGATTAAGCCGAAGCGACGCAGTAGCTTCTTCAAGTTGGGTGACGTGTACAAGCCAGGTAAGTTTACATCGAAGGACATGCCGAAAGGGCCAACTGCCTCCAACCAACCGTGGGACCCTGTCTTTGCACACCACGCCTTTCAGAAGGTCACCGGCCCACTGCAGCGCAAGCAGAACACAACGCCTGATGATCACCTCACTGTGGAGGAGGTGGAGAAGTGGATGGACGCGAAGTCCGCCGCGAAGGTACTTGGCATCAAGGAGCACGAACTGCCGACGCTGACTTCTGCACAGGTGGAGGAGCGCTGGGCAAAGGTATACGGGGAGCGCACTAACGCGCAGCAGCAGGAGACTGTCATCGCGGTGGAGGTCCTGCTCGAGTATGTAGACTCCTCACTGCACCGCAAAAAGAGCCGGCAGTACTACCGGCAGTATGTTGACAATGCGCGGCAGTCATTTGATCACGAGACGGAGCTCCGGCGCCGGGGCCACCGGCAGAAGTTTATTTACATGTTTGGTATTGCCATGGGCGTCGGCTGCAGTGTGGTTATGTGCATCGCCTTCTTCCGAAACATCATTACACGCAGGGATGTGGAGAACATAGGCTCCAGTGCGGTGGCGTACCTCAACATGGTCTTCGCGCAGCCTACAAACCCCGAACCGGCGCCGGACTACGCCACACGCTACCGTGACACACCCACTGCGCTAGAGATTGATCAGCGGTCCGGCGCGTACGGCCGCACAAACCCCGCGGAGGCTAGCATCGTTGCGGCGGTAGAGGAGTACCGCCGCGACGAGGAGGCAGAGATGCTGCGCATCCTCAACGATGAGAATGAGCGTGCACAGAAGGAGGCCAAGTCAAGACGCGCAAAAGACAGCCGCGTGCGTGTGTACCGCGCCGATGACTTCGACGAGGCGGGGGAGTTGAAGGAGCCAACGCGGCAGCGTGAGGACGCCGACCCAGCGAAGGCTTTCTCCCAAATGACATTTAGGCAGTTCGCCAACCTGATGGCGTCGCAGTTTGGTGGTGGATCGCGGTTCCAGCGCATCACACAGGACAGCGTGCGGCGCGCCGAGGAGTTGGAACAGATGAAGAAGCGGATGGAGAGAACAGACGAATAGCGCAGCGGAGTTGCGCATGATGGCCGCACTCTGTATCTGGACATGCTTTTGTTTTTGTTCTCCGAGTCTCTTCGCTACTCCCCCCTAAAGAAAGAAAGAAAGAAAGAAAAAAAACCCTGCATCTCGCTCCTTTTTCATCAACATTTCTGTTTGACTCCTTCATCGTTGTGTTTCCTGTTGACTTGATTGCTCTTTTTTTTTGTGTTTGTGTTGCATCTTGAAGATCCAGCTCCACTTCTTATATCATGGGCGAGGCTGCTGCTGCTGCTGCGGCGGCGGCGGCGGCGACGTCTGCGAAGGAGCAGCGGCAACACTCTTTGTCGTCGTCACCGCCCGCGCTGCATGCCTCCTCTGTGGCACTCGCCTCCACGGTGGCTACGGTCCTCACAAAGTCCTTCCTGCACCCACTTGACACAGTGAAGTGCCGACTGCAGTCGTCGAGCTCTCGCAGCTTGGGGCGTGCGTGGCGCGACTACAGTGGCAGGTGGGGGCCAACCTATCTCTACGGTGGACTCCCAGTCAAGCTGCTCTTTTATGTGCCCTACCAGGCCATATATATGACCACATACAACACTGTGAGAGATTCGCTGAAGCCAGCCGATACGAGCGCGGAAAACCGTGCTAGTTTCCTCGCGAGAACTGTAATCTCGGCCAGTGGAGCAGAGCTTGCGAGTTGCGTTGCACGTGTGCCGATGGAAACATTGAAGATGCGCATTCAGGCCGCCGTCGTGCCTGACACCCGCGCTGCGCTGCAGCAGATTCGTCGGCACGGCATAGCGGCGTGTGCGCGGCTGGTGCTGCCGCAGACGCTTCTGCACGACATCCCATACAGCGCAATCCAGTGGATATGCTACGAGACCATGCGGCCGTGGGCACGGCAGTTGATGGAGAGCCGACGCCTCGACCAGGAGCCCAACAGGGCGTCGCGGTTTCGCGGCTACGCACACGACTTCGTGCGTACATTTTTCTCTGGTGGCTTTAGCGCCCTCATTGCGTCAACGGTGACGGTGCCACTCGATACGATTCGCACGCGTGTTGTTGTTGCCGCCGCGGCCGACCCCTCCACGACTGTGAGACGTGTGGTGCGGGACACATATCGTCTTGGTGGGGTGCGCATATTCTTCCGTGGCGCCGTGGTGCGCGTGCTGTGGGTGACGACGAACATGGCCGTGTACTTCCCGCTCTATGAGGCATTGAAGGTGGAGTTCCTGCGGCGGCAGGAGACGCGTGCGGCTGTTTCCTCCTCTTGACGCAACCTGGAAAGGAGGGGAAACTATGAAACTTGATATGGTGCACAAAGCACAGAAGCAAAACAAAAAAAAAAAAGCAACAATAAGATACGTGCAGTACTGCGTATAATTTGTTACCGGCGGATTTTTTGTTTTCTCAACTACTCTCCTCTGTCCTGCTCGGGATTGTTTCGTTCTTTCCTCCTGTGTGTGTATTTTCCTTTTTTTTCGTTGGTGTTGCTGGCGGCGAGAAAGAAGCATCAAACACATGGAAGAGGTAACATCAAGTTGCGCTGGCCGTGATAGTGGTGTCTGCATCTACCTCTGCGAGGGGTGGATGGGGGCGGGTGCTTTTCTTTCGTTGTGTTTCCTTTTATTTTTTTTTTTTGTTCTTGTTGTTTGCTTTCTCCCCTTCGTGTTCCCCTCCCCCATCTCATGCCTCCTCTCCGTCTGTTTCTCCTTCAGTTTTACTTCGCTGGCCACGTGTATCGCGATTTGCGAGTGTGTGGGGTCTTGCGTGTCTCTAGTGTGTAGGAACGAAGAGGGCGGATGACAACAGCGGCGACCCGGGAGACAACCGCAGAAAGAACTGCAGTAACAGCCGAATGTGAAGGCGGCTACACATGGCCGGAGTTTGTGGAGGAAATGGGGGAGAAGCTCAACGACAAGCGATCCATCATCATTGCTTCATCCCCTGATGTGGCGAAGTCGACCTGTTGCCGGGTTGATTATGTATGCGCTAAATTCACACCCGCAGATGGCGACAAGGATGACACTCCCCTCTCCGCTCTGCAGCACGCCCCACGTGCGACCTTCACCACGGCGGGGAACATCGAGAAGGCACAGAAGTGTACCTCCGTCTACGGCCGCGTCCCGATGCTCGTCGTACTCGACATGGAGGAGGACCACTTCTTTGTGCTCGACCTCAACAGCAGCGCCACGACGGAGGCGGAGATTGAGGCGTTCCTTCGCGGCGTGGTGCGCGGCAACGAGCCCAAAGCGCTGCAGGGCGCTGCGCCGCCCGCCGACGACCGATTCGAGCCGACCCACGGCATCACGCTCACGCACGGGCTCTGCGCTGTCACGTGCAGCATAGCACGCCTCAAACGGCAGAGGCCCGGCGGTGCGATCTGCGCGTTTTGGAGCGGCCGCTGTGTGATGTGCCCTGCGATACTGATGCTGCTCGACCGCGTGGTGGGTCTCGTGTGGGAGGCTGCTGCGCGGCACGGCGCGGGGCCGCTCTTCACGTATATGGCCTGCAACGTCGACGACAACGATCTGCCGGAGCAGGACTGGCCGGATCCGCACCGGCAACTAGTGCCGTCGCTCGTGGCCTACACAGCGGACGGCAAGCGCATCGTGTACAGTGGGAGGCGCACCGCTCCTCTGCTTGTTTCCTTTCTGTGTGATAACTGCTTTCCGAGTGGACTGGAGAGCGCCGCACAGATCAGGAGTGACGCTGTGACGCGCGCAGAGCAGCTGCAAGAAGGCAATCCGTGCAGTGGCACCGCCGCCGTCTCTGCCGCCACTCCCGCGAATGAGGCGCCAGACCGTAGCAAGGACGAGAAGGCCAAGAGGAATGGTGACTCTTCCGATAGGGCCGAGGAGACTGGGAGGAAAAGGCCGCGCTGCTATGGGGGTGACCAATAGGAAGAATGGGGGAGGGGTCAGTAAAAGAGTTCCTGAAGTGGGCGTTCTAACCTTTTTTTTTCCGTTTTCAATTGTGATTCATGATCTTTTTTTGTTTTTGTTTTGACGTGAATCTTAATTTTCAGCTCCTGCGGTTCATATTGTTTTGTTGCTGCACGTATCTGTGTGGATATTCTGCCAGCCTTCTTCCTGGCATTGTTGTTGCTGAGCATCGTTTCCTGCGTGTTTAGAAGAAGAAGAAGAAAAGAAAAGAAAAGAAAAACCGCAAGTGCGGGGGCGACCCCGCGCCATCGTGTCGGAAAAAAAAAAACAGGGGAGTTGTGATTGTGTTTCCTCTGGTTGTGTGTCTGGCGTCATT